ATCCAGAACTGACACTGTCATTAACAACCAGAGGAGTATGCTTAGTGACAGGATGCTACTCCTCACATCCAGAACGGACAGACTTAGGAATCACTGTTTATTACTTCTTCCTATACTTTCATCTGTAACTGTAATGTATGTGTATGTGTAATTGTATGTTGTTTGTATGTTGTATGGTACTATGGTGCTACTAGAAAATGAATTTCCCGGAAGAACCTTCCCGAGGGATTAATAAAGTTTTCTACCTACCTACTTCAGTGGGATGCCAGTCTGAGATGAGATTGATGCTCCTTACATGAACAAAAAAATGTGCCTTAAACCTACATACATACACCTCCTTTGTCCCAGTTACTCTAAAATGGTCGGGCAGCTTACCTGTAAGAAAACAACTTGGACATTTAACATTTCTCATTTTAAATTTTATTGGAAATGTGTCACTGCAAATTTCAGCTTATTTATAACAAGCTTCTGTCTTTCTGTCCATGGTTTCGAATTTATACAAGGAATGAGAAACTGAAAACACTCTCAGAAAAAAGGGTAAAAAATTTGTACCTTTGCTTGTCACTGGGTCTGTACCGTAAAGGGTCTGCTGATTGTTACCCTTAGCTGTAGGTAATTGTACCTTTTTAGGTACAGAAATGGACTCTGAGGAACATTTCTGCACCAATGATGTAACACCAATGCTGTTTGTACCTTCGGGATATTTCTGAGTCCATTTCTGTACCTCGAAAGGTACAGTTACAGGGGTACAACCTCAGTGACAAGCAAGGTACAAATTTTGCCCTTTTTTCTGAGAGTGTAGATGAACCCCCGGTGTGATGGAGCTTATACAGATCCAGAAGAACCAGGCACATGCTAGACAGCACATAAGCAGTGAGGTCAGGAAATCCCCTCCACTCAGTTTAAGACATACTTAACCCAACACAACCAAAAATGGGACTCGTCACTCGTCCTTCCATGTGTCCTTTTCAGGGCCAAGAATGGAAAACCACATCAAAGGCACTTAGCACTGGTAAACATGGCACTGACTTAAACCTCATTTTGTCTCCAGCCCTCATATCGTCAGAAGAAACGCTGTTAAAATACAAAGACAGAAGGTGATTTCTCCATCTAGCACAAACACTCATTTAGCAAAGTAAGAATTTTTGAGAAAAGGTACCTCTTAAGGCTCCTCACACTTGTACTTGTTCTTAGGTTTCTTCGTGTCGGTCATTGCGTTAGCTTTCGTGCGTTGTTCGGCCTGACAAGGACAAAATGGAGGTTTCTGTGCATAACACCCACGCTAGCAAATCTACACTGATGGCAGACAAGTTTGACTGATAGAGTCGATTTAAGGTCAACATTTGTAGCACTTTGAGTTTTGCGCAAATATCAAAACATCAATTTACAGCTTAATGGGGCTGAAAAATTCAAGGCAGGGGATGTGGGTTCCTGACCATGTAGTAGCCGGTGTGGTACCCGCAGAGGTACCAGGAGAGCAGAATGCTGGACAGATGAGCCACTTCCTGGTCCAGGCCAGCGATGCCGCCATCAGCCCCCGCTCTGGTGGGCAAGGCGCAAAGGGGAGGTGGCGGCGGGACGAGAGGCAAAAACCCCTGAAGAGAAACAAATTTTACATTTCAAACCAAAACATTGGTCCATCCATGATCTAACCATCTACGGCATCCTGGGTCAGAGGCGGACCGAGAGCCTAACTGGACAGCACGGCACACAAGGCTACACACTGAGCGGGAAACTACTAAAGCTTCACTGATCGTTCAGCCAGATAAAAGAAAGCGGAGCACTCACTCTGTCCGTTATAGTGGGGTGTATCTGCACCTACAGCAGGGAACCTTCTGAAGGTTCTAAACTCCTCCCGCTTACATCAGTTTCACTTGATGAATAACGTCGCCACAAAGCCAAAATGACCTCCATTTTGAAACATACTGCTTTAAAAATGTTGCCTTGTTTAAAGTGTGTTAATATTCCATCCATCCATACATACACTTTCTGTACCCGCTTGTCCTATTCAGGGTCGTGGGGGGGTCAGAAGGCTATCTCAGGAGCTACAGGCGAGAGGTGGGGAACAACCCAGGATGAGGTGCCAACAAATCACAGGGCAGTGATTAATATTTAAAGTGTTACATTTTTGTTCTTGTTCTGATTTTCTATTAATTTTAAAATGCGGCATACCCTGGTTTGAAGTGTGATTAATTATTATAATAATAATAATAATAATAATAATAATAATAATAATAATAATAATAATTCCTTTGGTATGTTATTAAGGTTAAATATATTTCAAGTTAAGCAGTTAAAGTTATGGCCACTGACAAACCCTGCATCGGTCAACCTCTAGATACTAGTCCTCAAACCCAACAGACACAAGACACGCAACAATGAATCCACTCCCTTACTGAGGGAAATGAAATAAACTTAAATAAAATGTGGACCTCCTCTCTTTGGCCATGATGTTATTAAAGATCAATATACCAAGTTTGCTTGTGTGCTAGAATGAAAACAAGCCAAATCAAGGTGTTTATCAAGCATTACGCTAGTTTCCTTAATTTTTGCTCTATAGTCCAAGTACTTCGCCTAAGAAGGGTTGACATGTTGAGTCCAGCATCAACAAAAGCTAGTCAAGGAACTCAAAAAAAACCACAGACAGACCTTAAACAGCAAGTAAATGATCTTGTACATATTTTGATAAACCATCATTCACCTAGTAAAAGATTTATACCAAGAAGGTGAAGAGAAATCACTGTATGTATGTACAAATAACTCCTTCCAGCAATTATAGCCCTGGAGGTTCTCAGTGAACTTCGTTATTCATTCTTCCGTAATGATTTTGGACAACAATTCACAAATTCCTACGAGTGGGAGAATGCGGGGATATACCCTGAGATGTACCCTGTGATGGACGAGCACTCCATGGAATCCACTACGGCTGCAACAACTAATCCATTATGTTGATAATAAATCGGTAATAAAAATAGGGGGCAATGAATTTTGTCATCAGTAGGTTGCATTTTTGCGGTTTGCTGCGTAAATTGCGTGTAACAATATTTTGCAAGGTAAATAAGACAAAGGCAGCAGGTTCGTCTGTGGAGGCTTGATGTGACAGCAAAACATCAAAACTATGGAATCACTTTCATCTTACACCATCAAAAAAATCAATATCTTGCAATGTTTGCCAAAGCAATACAGCCCTGATAGAATCTTTATTGTAACCCCTGCAGCCGCCGGCAGATCGCGTTCCATGTCGTGTCAGCTGCAGACAGACCTAAGCCCAAGTCAAACGCACCCATTGCTTCTTTAAGGGAGGATGGGCAAAATTACAACGTCGTCGGTGATTGGCTGTTGCGCTGGCGTTCAGTAAACCTCTGCTCGATAGGCCATGGAGTTTTCTGTCTCAGCGCATTCTCTAAAACGGACTAAACTTGGTTGATCGAGTTTTATAGTCTGTGTGTATCATCGTGATTGTCCTCATCGTTTTATCGCCCAGCACTAGTTTGTACCAAACCGTTATACCCCAAGATTCTCTCTGCTATATAAAGTTTTTATAACAACTATGATTTAAAAATTCCTTGATTTTTTATTTTTTTTTTTTTAATAATGAATTTGCACTCTTCATTGATCACTCACTACACAATATGCACTTAAATGAGGAAAAAGTACACACTAAGGCAAGTTACTTGGTGCAATTCCTTTGCACGAAAGTACACAACTTCGTACTTTCCGGATGCGCTACACCACCTTTGAACTGCTGGACTTTGACTTTTAACGCCAGATGTCCTGATAACAACAAGTACCAAACAAACCATGTACAATTATCAATATGTTCAATACGTTTATCAATACTTTATGATCATCTGAGTTTCCATATTAAGAATTGTATTCACACTTAAAACCACCATTACCTTCGCCCAGCATGTTCAAGTTCATTGCAGACTTTCCCAGAATTCATGTCTAGGATTGTGGGATTGAATAGGATACAGTGTTTGCACACTTCGGATTTTGACTGGATGTAGGATGCCATCCAGAAACTTTTTGTGCACTAAGTGATGCACACTGTGGTTTCGAACACACTATTATGTTTCCTGCACTATTTCGGCACACTATTTAGTGTGGAAGTGTGCAATTTTGTATGCTTTGCCCATGTTTTGGCCCAACTAATCAATTAGTTGATTGGCTGATCACATGATTAATTATTACAACAATCGGGTTTTTTGCGGCCATATTCTATGATTCTGGCTTGGACTCCATGGTCACAGTGACTCTGCACTGAATCAATAGTATGAAATATGCTCAAAAGGATGAAGGTTATCCCACCTGCTGTTTGTATTGGCTGTTAATTAGCCAATTGTCTGAATTACTTCCAGGCGGTTAAACACGTATAGAATATTACATCAAAGGTTACATTATTACAAAAAACTGCAGGAGTCTTGGCACTTTAGGTTTGTCAGGCACAAGTTTAAATAGGGTGAGTTGCAGTGAAGGGAAATTATTCATTCATACTGTGTGATGACATGTAAACAGGGCTATGGGCACCTAGACGGCTGTCTGACCTCTGAGCTGTCATTGGCTGCTGGCACAGAAGGAAAGCTGGGAAAAGGGTGAGCTGATGTGGGGCAGGTTCCTTCTGGTCTGCCTCTCCAGCTGCCTGTCATCTTTGTGCTTTTCCGTTCTTTTTTACTCCTTGTATAGTAATTATTGCCGTCTTCACCAGAACCCTGATAACACACACACAGGTAATATTATCATTTTATCACACAGAAGATAAATACCTACAACACAAAGAGAATATGCAAAAATAATAATTACGAACAGTGTGATGTTACAATTCTCCATGATTTCCTTATTCCGCTGTTTCACTTGGTTTCACTAGCATATATTAAATGCAGCCTGCTACATAGAATGTTTTACTTTTGCACACTTCTAAAAGCATTGCACGTGTTTAAAATTTGGATCTAGCATTTTCCTGTAATTATCTGAATACAGTTTGAAAAAATGGTTTCTTTTGGTAGGAAATAAAGAACCAAATCATTTCCACCAATATTTATGGGAATATAGGCTATCCTCATCAAAATGACCTTTGTGATAATAATCTCCTGTAGCAGCAGACAGTCAACCACTGTTCACAGCTGGATCGCAGTGGAAAATCCATCTCACTGACAGCTGTACAAAGGCAGTGTTGATGGGAAGAGGGGCAGTACAGCAGTGGGACGCTCTGATGATGCTCACAGTGACGCAGCTGGAGCCCAGGCTGCGCAGACCCTCTCTGTCAGCACTTATCTTCTGTTTCTCCTTATGTTTGCAGTCGGAGCTGCTACTACCACCATCTGGGCTCCTTTCCAGAGCCTAGACACACAGGACAGAGGTTTGACAACAGAAGCAATACAGAAAAGAAACGTAAGAGCAGGCAGTGCAGAGGCACCGTCAGCCTGCTGGACATGGCCGGGCGCGGACATCTCGCCTGGTCTGCAGTGCTGCCACTCTGCTCCGGCTCTCCTGGGGGCAGCAGAGCACTTAGCTCCAGTTCCTCCTCATTCCCGTAGCCATCAAATCGCACCCGCCCTCGGTCCCCATTTATGGAGATCAGCACCGCAGGGTACACCAAGCCGTCTCCGGACCACACCACCCGGCACTGGGACCCTACTGTCCACTAGGATTGTAGTGGCAATTTAGAAAAAGAGATATGAACAGTCACCATAAGGGGGCAGCAGAGACCCTAAGCGCAAAGTAAGTGTGGCACAGGACAGACCCAAACGAAGACCCCAGGCCTGATCTGTGACCCGAAAACAGAAGATGACCCACCGGCTCAGGCTCCCCAGGCAGCAGCATCGACAGCTGAAGCTCCTCCTCGTTTCCATAGCCGTCAAACTTCACCCTGCCCTGCACGCCCTCGACCCAGACCAACACGGCGGGATAGACCAGGCCATCCGCAGACCAGCGTGCACGACAACGCGACCCCACACCCCAGTCCTGCAAGGAGAAACATGGATTTAACTGCTACCTGAAACTGCTGGGTGAAACCCAGCTTAAACTCATATCAAAATTACTATCCAATACCTAATTTGGATAACTAATATCTAATTTATAGATGCTTTCATTACAAAAGGTTGACTGCATTGCACATGCAACAACAAAATTGCTTTTGAGAGCTTTAAATTTTCCCTGACCATGGTTTAAAATGGCCTGCTGATAAGCATTTTAAACCCGCGCCTCATAATCAACCTGTTTGGACACAGTGACATCATCAGGTTCCTCGCTGTGACCCGCAGCCTTCAGTGACCCTTCCTGCTCGTCGGTCGGAACTTTTTCTTCACAGTCTGAACCCTTACAAAAAAGAGGCCCTCCATTTATCAACAAAAACGAAAGCTATAGGACCCTAGTAGCTCACTAGCAATGAGACGCACATGCAACAGTAAAAACTAAAGACTAAAACACTAACAATCAATAAACTAACATACAAGTAGCCAGCTGATGCTTTATTTATCCATTTGTTCTACATCTAAAAACGAAATCGAACAATTTCCTTAGATTGCAAAAAAAATAACATGGAGTAGCACCAGTGGACCCCAATCGTAATACACCTGATGTTTGCCAATTTGTTAATGGTCGATACTAACTTGATGATACCCCTACTAACAATATTTAAGTGCATATTACATTTTCAAACAAATGTTCTGTTTTAATTTCGTGTTCAGCTGACAGCATTAGGACACTGCGACTGAAATGCTGACCCGTGACCAGCTTTACCTGGAAGGATGTGATCGCCTTGTCATAAGCCTTCACTAAGGCTGCGTCATCCCCTGCCACCGCCGCTGACATCTCCAGCTGCATTGGGATTTGGGTTTAATTATGCATTACGGGAACAATCTTATTACAGGGCGAACATCAATGAAAAGTGCAACGAAAGTCGGCACTCCGGAGATTCAGAACGCTTTACGACCACCCGTGAATTGTATAACGCTGCCCTAACCACCGGTTCTGACGGAGCGCGGAGGGCAGTCGTGACTCACTTCGCCGTCATTCGCCCGATAGACAACATCCCGACAGCACTCGGCCATGCCTGGGCGTCTTCCGCCGTCCGAGCCGGGCACCCGCACGCACGTCTCCAATTCCCGCGAGCGCGCCTTTAGACACGTGACCCGACGTGCTTCCTCGCCGTCATTTGTAACGTCACGCGCCGCCTACTGGAAGCCTAAAATGGTCTCTGTGTGTCGCATTTACTTGTGTGATAGGGCAGCATTAGACGTGCGATACTCTCTTATCTGTGTTAAATAAACTCTTACATTTAAAAAAAAATCTATATTTCTTCACGGTGTATACAAGATAGCAAATATTTTAGTATTCTCATTATTAATGTATATTAGTTTTGTTTAACATGATACGATGACAATGGATAATACTGTTACCTGATAACTCCTGGGTTGGGGACTCGAATTTTACCTTACCTCTGTGTACGTGGAGTTTGCATGTTTTTGCCGTGACATGGTTTCTTCCCACAGTCTAAATGCATCCAAATGTATTTATGCAGAATGCAGAATGGCTGCTGTCGCATCATCCAGATGGGGGTTACATTGTGGTGGTTGAAGTGGCTCCCCATAAGTTCTGTAAAGCGCTTTGGGTGTCTTGAAAGGAGCTATATAAATGTATCATCGATTCATATATCTGAGTGTGTGTGACCTGTGATGAATTGGCATCGGTGCAGGGTGTATTCTGTCTCGCTCCCAATGCTGCCTATGCAACCTGGGCAAGTGGTTGGAATTTTTCAAGGAGGAACAGCAAAGCTAGTGACAGTCAGGTACATTTTGAATGTTAATCCAGCCTTTTATTTGACATTATCCAGTACTGGATCATAGTGGCACAGAAGCCTGTCCCAGGAAACAATGGGGACAGACAGGTAATGCCCTGGTTAGGATTCCAGTCCATCTCTTGGCAAATATTCACATACTAAGGCCAATTCAGTGACCTCAGTTTGCATGGAGGCATGTTTTTATGTGGGAGGACACCCCTAACCCAGGGGGGGGGGGGGTGGTATGTGACTCAGCGAGTTAAGCCCCTGTGGTTTGAGCAGAAGCTCGCTGGTGACTGCTGCCCTCACCTTGGCAGAACTGTCACATCTCTGTTGGGGACCTGATATGCTCCAGGACGCCTGAATAAACGGCCTGTCCCTGTACCCAGTTCTCAAGCTTCACTCTCAGTTACATGTATATGTGTCTGTATGTCTCAAAGGAGAGCAAGACAGGCTATGGGAAAGAAGCCTTCCAGTGTTCCTGTACTCCTGCAGATAGTCGCCTTGCTTTTGTGTAAACAAACATGCAAGTTATTGTGTCGCATGGATGATCTGGTATTATTAATTAAATTCAATTATACTGAATAGCTCATATTTTTCTTCTAGATTTTCAGAATAGTATTTCTTTCATGATAAAGCATATTGCAAAAATTGGCCTCTACTGTACACATTTTATGCATTTTATATGTAAATAATATGCTTAATAAATTTGAAGAGAAATTAGTGATCTTCTTTGTCCCATTGACTTTAATGTCTCAGGCAAAGACTCTTAAGCGGGAAGAAAACAGCACCCTTAGATTATTTTTCAAAGTATATTAGTAAAAGGACAATGGAAGTGCAAATTAGCGTTTCACTGTTGCTTCCTTGACGTGCCATTCCCTGTGAAAGGAGACGTGAGAGGCTGTGTATTCTCCACTGTGTGTATTCTCCCAGTTCAATGCTGGCTTTGACCAACACAGGCCAGGGTGATAAATTCAGCACCTGAGTAGAGCTGCCTGTAAATTTACTATGCATGATCATTACTAAATGACCAGAGTACATTTCCTGTTCTGTATTTCCTCCTGTGTATTCAGCATGTATAACAAGCAGGTAACTAAAAAAACTAATTTACACCATAGTCACATGCTGGGCGGGACAGGGAACGATCGCGAGTGACGGTAAGGAAGGTGAAAGGAGGATCAACGGTATCAAAAATTAACTGTGGATAAAAGTGCATCTCCTGGATATTTGGTACATGGGAGTGTGGATTTTAAGCATTGCGGGTTAATGAAAATTGTAAATTTAATACTGATATAACAACTTAGTACCTTTGAATCAAGTGTTTGCAAAAATCATTAATTTTACAGTTATGCAGGGGCGAGGCCATTGATCGTTTGACCAAGGGCAGACCGGCACAGCTCGAGTTTTTTTTTTTTTTCTTGGGGGGCTTGGTATATTTTGCCGCTTACCGTGAATCACCGTGAATTGGAAAGATCACGGGCTAAATCAAGTTTACTTGGGGCTTGACTTTTTTGTTACTCGGGGCTAGGTTTAAAATATAGTGATCGGACCGAACGGCGCCCACGGGCTCTGTAATGCCGGGGCTGAGGAAGAAAGACCGGCCCTCAGAAGACTGGTCCACCGGGAGAATCCCGATCTTCATAATGGCCAGTCCGCGCCTGTGGGTGACAAACCGTCTCTTCACCAAGCTTTTTGACAACAGATAATGGGTACTGGTAAG